CTTTGTGATTGACTACCTCGATTCATATTGACGTTAATCAAATTTGCGAGCTCGCCATTGCAACTAAGATTAATGTGTATCGAGCTTACCTTTAATTGTATTTATCTTTGTGATTGACTACTTCGATTCATATTGACGTTAATCAAATTTGCGAGCTCGCCATTGCAACTAAGATTAATGTGTATCGAACTTACCTTTAAATACATTTATCTTTGTGATTGACTGCCTCGATTCATAACCACTTGAGATCATTGGCAAATTGCTTCCTAAAATTCGAATACGCACGTAGTCAGATGAATGATTTTTCTACACTTCAAACTTTGAGTTTCATTTGGCAGTGACTAAGTTTCAGGAGAATCAATGATGTAAGAGATCAAAAACGAGTGCGAGTGTTTGATCAGGGCACCCATACACCGAGAAACAGATGAAAGGACGATGCCGTTGGGCCGAGTGCTTTTGTTGTTTCGAGTAACTATTATATTATTTGTCCTGATCAAACACGAAGCACGATTTTTTAAACTGACTTCTCAAACTTATTATAATTCATTTGTTCTTGAATCTCGTGAGAATAAATATTCCTTCGAAATTATTCGTTCATCCGTTGGTGTTTTGATCAGTGTCTTGATCCGTTTTTGATTAAGTCTCAAGGTACGTGCTCGTGACTAAAATGCAAAGTCGCCATTTGTCATTGACCTCATGAATTATTAATGAGTTTGAGAATGCATACTCGTTCCGTATGGTAATTCTACTGTACAGTTCCGCCAGAGCACAGTGTATTGAGTGTGTGAGTCCCGTGAGAATGTGTGGAGTATTCTATTCTCTACTTTCGAATCCTCATAATACTTTGCGTCTTTGGGGGGTAACCAGAGGGTAAAAACCCACTAATTTTGCTGAAGGCTGATCAGACAATGTTGACAATACCTTGTTTGGTATCCAAAAATAAAATGAGGAAGTAAAAAACAGAAAAAGATAGAAGCTTGAAGACGTTTAAGGTAAATTTTAAACATTTTTCGTAAGTCAATACATTTTCTGTAAGACCAAAACTCTTGATGATCTGTACACGCAAAAATAACTTGGAATAAACTGATAATCAGTATTGTACAGATAAAAGCAGGTATAGTATATATTAAATTAAGAGACCTTTCAATTTGGGACAGTTTTTTGCTTGGTTACCCCCCAAAGACGCCAGGCATTATGGGGATGTGAAAGTAGAGAATTGTTATTACACTAGCTTCAAAGATTCCAATTATGAGGATTGTCCGGTGTGCAGTCATAACAAAATAGTTATTGCCTCTCAGATGCGTTTAGCCCTTCCGTCCACACGATGAAAACGGTCACCGAAAACCATACTTTTGAAAACGCTTTTTAAAGTGGATCCGTGTGCACGGCTGAAAACGATTCGTAAACGTTGATCGTTTAGGGCTGGTTCACACTTCAACATAAACATAAACATAAGCATAAGAAATAGAGCGCATGCAGCAAAACCATGAAATAAAAACAAAGTTGATACTGACAAATAGTAGCTATTTAGTGACTAATAGTTGCTAGCACTCAACCAGAACATTTTATCTTAAACAAAGGGCACAAATGGTCTCTTGTGTATTTGTCTTTGTATGATGAAAAGCTTTTCCATTTTCGTATGCTTATTCTTGTGCTTATGCTTTTGAAATCCAAAGTGTGAACCGGGCATTACAATAGTGCTATGTTTCTTATGCAAGTTTATGTTTATGCTTATGTTGAAGTGTAAACCAGCCCTTATCGGTGGACGCACAGGATTCGTTTACAAAAGTATGCATTTACGAATGAAAACATATGAACAGTCACCGTTTTTAATTTTTTTTTTTAGCAAAATGCTTGAGCAAAGTTCTACAGATGTATGGAGAACAAGAACTTAATTGCTCAAAAGAATGCCTTCTCCCTTGCAGGTATTCTTTTAGACAGAAAATCTTGAATTCCTGCTTTACGTTGTGCTCAAAATGTTTTCATGATCAGCTTTATTTTCGACTTTTCCCCCGTATTTCAGAGAAGAATCATTCAAGACTACTTTCTCTATGGCAGCCTGGCCGTCAAAAACGTATGAGGTATGGATTTGGTAAGCTTACCTTTCTTTGAAGTGAATACTCTTTCTTTTGGGGGATTTTCCTGCCATTTAAAGAGTTTAAAATGTCAAAAATATGAACAAAACTTGCAGATATTATAGCCAAAGAAACACTTGACACTGTTCACCATCTTGAATTTAGCTTAGAGACCTGGCCTTTGACAAAGGAAGCCCGAAACGTTTAAAACCACAGGGATCCTGCACCAAAGTCAAAATAAATTTTATATACACCCAGGGCCCAGTTGTATGAATTGTACCAAAAGTGGACAGGGCTATTCGACGGACAAATCTTTATCTAGTGTATAAGTCGATGCTGGTATCCAATATATTTATCCACTGTATAAGATTTATCCGTCGGATAGCGCTATTCACTCTTCGTACAACCGGGCCCAGGTCTTACTCTATAAAATAGTTATTTCCTTCTTGACATGATGGTTTGAGTTTTATGCGTTTGTGTTCCACCACGACATACAAAAATAGGAAGAAATAAAGAAAGAATGATAGAAAAAATGAGAGGTGATCGAATGAGAGGAGAATGAATCCGATTGAATGTAATGATGGATGGATGGATGGATGAACGGACGGAAGGAAGAAAGGAAGGAAGTAGAAAAATAAATAAATTGCATTATAAATGATGCTAACACTCCAAACTGTTCTTTTTCTTCAAGGCAGAAGCAAATTTAGAAGCAAAAGTAAACCCAAATGCGACAAAAAATATCACGTTCAAGTATGTTACACGTTATTTGAGACAATTCCAAACTGTTCAGTAAGATATGACTAGATTGTGTTGTACATTATTGAATGACGCTTACCTTGACCGTGTGTGGTGCTGGTATGTTCTAACGTTCAAACCAACCCGATTAACTAACCATTGAACAGACAGGCAGATAGGCAGACTGTCAGAGTGGGAGCTAAGTAGACTATTGAGCAATTGAGCTAACATTCTGATAATTTTATGATGATCAGGGATAATTACTTGGAAATGCGTGTGTACTACAAGGACTTGAATAACGAAGTAACTGAAGAAAAATCCTCTTATGGGGTAAGCGAGTCTAACTTTACAGCGTTTAAACAATTAATTGACTTCATGGGGGGGGGGGGGGGGGGNGGGGGGGGGGGGGGGGGGGGAGGATGCGTTACTTAACAAATAGTCAAATGACATCATATATCAAGCGAGTTCTCGAGCAGCAAAGCCAGCAAATATTCTTAAGGGAAGATGGAGAATATGGTGTTGAAATTCATTGTCCCAGGTCCAGCCGACAACGAAGACCTTAAATCGATTTTTTTCAAAAATGTTAAAATGAATAATAAATAAAATAAGTAAAAAAAAGAATAGGATTAAGCGGTTGCATTTCCACAGAGTGGCTCTTCATCCACTGAAATTCTAATTGGAATTTAGGAGTTGAATTTTGCGGAGGGAGGAAAACCGGAGAACCCGGAAAACCCTCGAAGCACAGGAGACAACCAACAAACAACTTTACTCATACACAACACCGACCCTGTTAGGACTCAAACCTGGGTCCATTGATGAGAAGCGAGCGCTTTCACTACTTGTACCACAGGGAACAATCCTGGGACCTTTGTTATTTCTGTTGTACATAAATGACCTACCTAATTGTCTTCTAAATTCTAAGCCAAGTATGTATGCAGATGACACTAGTCTGACATACGCTGATAGTGATCCAACATTGATTCAATCACGTCTTAATACAGATCTGAGAAACATCAGCTGTTGGCTTTCAAAAAATAGACTTACTTTAAACAAGACTAAAACAGAATTTATGTTGATTAGATCACAGCAAAAACTCAACACCCTTGCTGCTACACCAGTTCTCGAGTTAAATGAAGTACCAATTACTCAAGTGAGTACAACTAAATTCCTTGGTGTACTCATAGACAGCAATCTTACCTGGAAAAATCACATTGAAAAGCTTTCCAAAAAAATTGCTTCAGGTATTGGGTCCCTAAAGCGAATTAGGCCATTGGTCCCACTATCAACATTACGCATTATTTATAAAGCATTGGTACAGCCCCATTTCGACTATTGTAATGTCGTTTGGGGTAATTGTGGAAAAACTCTCTCAGATAAACTACAGAAGCTCCAGAATCGTGCAGCACGGGTGTTGACCTTCTCTAATTACGATGTAGATGCCGGGGCTTTGATTGAAAAACTGGGTTGATCTATCCTTAGTGTTCAAAGACAAAAACAAAAGGCCATCTTAGATTTCAAGGCCCTACATGGTACCACTCTTGAATACCTTAGCTCTAAATTTGTATTCACGAGGGATATCACTTGTTATTTATTACGAGACTGCGCCAACAAACTGAACATTCCTCTTCCGCGCACAAATTATCTCAAAAACACATTTACCTACAGTGGTGCGTAATTATGGAATAGTCTGCCAAATAACTTAAGGCAGGCAGACTCTCCCAAAGAATTTCATCAACGATTGGAAACCTGTTATGTATAGTAAAAGCCCCCTTCAGCAGAACGCAAGACCCCCTAAAATTTTGGCTGGATCCGCCCTTGACGCCACCCGTGCTTCCCATAGATGAAAGATATCCAAGTCACAAAAGTGAGAGCGCTGAGAATCATGATTCGAATAATTTCATATCAAAGCAATTATAAAGCTGTAATAAAGTCTAAAATAAACACGGAGGGGGAGGGGGCTTATACCGGGATTTAGCGGTATGAGTTATACTTCGAGATCGCAACAAATTTTTCTTGTTTTATTTCTTCAGCCAGTTGATTTCGTATCTGACATTGGAGGTCAACTGGGACTATGGCTCGGTGTATCTGTACTTGCAGCAGTAGAGGTCCTTGAATTGATCGTATTGTTATTTATTTATTTATGTGGAAGAAAAAAGAAAGTAAGAGATCGAGACTGTGAAGGTATCATTGTTCTGGGGACCAAAACTGGATTGCCCAAACCTGACTGATCTGAAAAAATGAAACACTTGGCCTGGCTATAGTAATATTGAGTTAATTGCCAATATCTGATAGCGTTGTTCTGAAGGAGACCAAAAATGGTTTGCCCAAAGCTATCACTGATCGGAAAGAATGAAACACTTGGACTGCCTATAGTAAAATTGAGGGACCTTAAGCTGCAGGACGGCAAAGACGACGACGACGGCAACCACACAATAGCACTAATTGCGCTATTCAATAGATACTCGTTGGAATGTGCGAAACACTGCGTGCATAATTGCCGTCTTATGCTGAAAGTAAGACGTGAAATGCCCTATTTTTACGAACTAAATAGAACGGCTACGCCAAAAGCTTATCTTTGCTGATTTTCGTTATAAGTAAAGCGCTCCCAAAAGACGTCATTTCACTCTAAAACGGGGATGCTCATTGAGTAAAATACTAGGTAAACACGAAAGAATAATACAATAGAAGGTTGAAGCGCCTCAATTTCGCCGATGTTGTCGCCCACTTTGCCGTCCTGCAGCTTAAGGTCCCTATTGACGAGTCTTAAAACCGTCCAGTGTGGCTTAGCCCCACTTCTGAGGTCGGTTAACAAAAGCAAAAATTATAATAACGAAAGCAGCAATTTCTGGATTCGAGGCTAAAGCTCATCCAATGGAGTTTTAAAGAGTCGTCAATGCTAAATGAAAATGTCAATATATATTTGAATGAACAGAGATAGAAAGAGATAGAATCTTGAAGAAGTTTACAGTAAATGTATTAGATTTTTTTTCGTAAGTCAATGCATTTTTGTAACACCAAAGTGTTCGATGTTCTGAACGCGCAAAATTAACTTTGACGAACTGATTAGCAATATTTTTACAGATATAAGCAGTTATCCTATGTATATTAAATTTGAAGAATGTTTCATTTTTGGGGGTTTCGTTTTTGCTTGCATAGTCACCCCCCTTCCCCCCAAGAAAGCAAAGCATTGACACGATATGATAAATCATTTAGTGGCCATCAATAGACCCATTTATCTTTGTATGCAAATTGCCCATTTCAGATCACATGACATTCCCTTGAGAATTGTTCTTTTATGACGAACATGTTAAAATATTTACATTTGAAAGAATCAACTCCCAAGAGTTGCATCACATGGTCTGAAATGTTGCAACAAACAACGAAGCTAAATTGGTCTATCAGTTGATACAATGAAGAATTAAGATTCATTAAAAAGCAGAGATAAAAGACGTTACTAGATTCAAAAACAAAAAGCACTACAAACCCCCGTAGCCAGTATATAACATGTGGAAAAACTTTGTAAAAAAATACTCAATTAATTAGCACACATTAGTTAGTTGATCAGTACACCCTGTCATCCTTAGATCTACAAAACTTTGCACTAATTTGTACGCTTTTATAGCAGAGTGAAGGCATTCAGTAACCCGTGAAATAAAAATTTTTAGTCAATGTGTCAGTCTAATATTTAATGTCCGGACTCGAACCCGGATCCGGACCCGGACCCGTTTTAAAAAAAAGAAGAAAAGAAAATAATGATAATGATAATGATAATGATAATGATAATGATAATGATAATGATAATGATAATGATAATGATAATGATAATGATAATGATAATGATAA